ATTGTGTCCGCAAGGTGATAAAACAATACATTTTCGGTTGTTCGTCACTCATACGGTGATATTTGAAAGCGTTGCTTTACTCAGTAAAGTAACGCATCAGTAAAGAAAATGTGCCACCCCTACTTTATACAGTTTCAGTTTAGCAAAATAAAACGGTAAATGAATATTTTCTGAGCACTCACACGAAGTAACTGAGTACTCACTGAGTAAAAATACTCAGAGATTGTTAGTAGAACTAATATAAGTATTCATGGACGAATTATGAGTAAAGTCGTACTCATTGTATGAGTACTTTCACTAGGGAAACTGATTTTAAGACCGACATATTGTAACCTTGAAGCAAGATATTTGGAAAACAATAAACAAGAAAGATCTATAGAAAATATCTATTCTTCTTCATAATTTATACTTCTTTTAATGTTCCATATGACATGGCATCGAGTTGCGTTTATTGTTAATTGCGAACCTCATAGTTCACAACTGTTGACAAAAGCTGGTATCACGCATTTTTTTCTCACATTTCTGGGAAACTAATAATCCTCTTATGTTATCGACAAAACAACATCTAAAGAAGCAACTGGCAGTAGTAATCTTGCAGTTTTTCTTGATTATTCTAAGCCTTAATAGAGTAAAATATATTTGATCTCTGTTATAGGTAATCATTTTCGAAAGTATGTTGGCCATTCAAGTAAAATTGGTAAGTGATCAAAATAATCATAGGACGATTCTGACTTTCTGTGACACCGATTCAAGTCTAATAGATTAAACTTTTCAACATCAATTTTTTGTACAACACACTGTTTATTTGAGACGATGAGAAGACGCTGCCCAAGGGAATCTATTAGCAACTGTCTAGTTTTAGTCGATTATTCTCAAAATATTATTGTGGCGTAGTTGAATAAACTCGAAGTGAATGCGTCGACTACTTCACGGCTTGTCAAAAGGTAACGCCGTGACATTTTTGACATAGCAATTTGAGGTGTTCTCGAAAATATAAGAGCTAGAAAGTTAGTTTTGCGCCATTCGACGCAGCTCTTCTTACTCTACTTTGAATATAAAAACAAAGATTTTTAGTTAAAGACTCGAGCTTCCAGAAAACCTTTTTAGATCGGTAACGGTGTGACAAAAAGGCCCTAAATTCTAATTACTCCTCATTAAAGTGCAAATTCCTACGAATTTAGAAGAGCTAATAAAAAGTGTCTTAAGTAAAGTTTATAGAGGAACTAACGAGTTTTCTTTTGCTAAAAAAAGTTTTTTCAGAACCCTTTACTTTGTTTATAAAACCCAATTTACTGAAGTAATGCTGTGACTTTTTCGGTAACGCTGTGACACACTTTTTTGTCGCACCATTTTTAGGCACTAAACGTTGTTAAAAAAACCTCATACTTATATACTGTGTAGTTCTAGGTTTTCTGACAAGACTCCACTTGAAAATAAAGTTCGAAAAATTGTCTCAGGCTTTCAGACCAAGGCGGAAGCTGAAACGTTCAAGCAGCCACTGTGTCTGGACTGAAAAATAGATTTCAAAACAAAATGAGCCATTTTGTAGAGAATTAAATTCTCTATTCAATGGTATGTTTTTAAAATCTTTTGAACAAAATGTCTAGGTCAGAAAATTGAAATTAAAATTTTTATATTGAAACTTAATTTTTTTCTTCAAAAAAAAGTCAGATTCGTGTTTAGCATGAAGAAAAGCCCCGTCTAGTGATGTGCTTCAATCGATTTTCTGATGAAAAAAGTCAAAAAATACTTGATCAGCGAAGTGTCGCGTTACGTGGACAAGCCGTTCACTTGTTGTTTGAATGTAACAGAAAGAAAAACACCGAACAATTATCGGTTCCAGTGATTATTTATTACCAGTGATTGTTTGACTTTTAATTACACTAAAATGAATCCTTTTCAATATGAGCTAGTTTAAGTAGATCACGATGTGTCGCTTTTTAGTTACTAAAGTTGAATTTTAAACAAATCGATAAATGAGATATAAAGTCACTCTTATTAGTGTCTTCTCAACATTTGAAGTTTTTTTCTACTCGAAAGTTCACATCAAGACTATCCTTTAGTTGTTTCACATATCAGGCATAGAATTATTATCATCTATTTTTTGTTTCTGACGCAATATTAATCAAACAATAAAAAATATTTTATTTTCTCTTACCTAGCTCGTGTTCGATTTTTACATGATAAAAGTCGTCTTATTACAATCGGCACCGAAGATCATACTATAATACAATGGCGATTTCTAAGTGAATCCGATGCAATAAGTACAGCGGATGCTAGACGTTTATCTGTTGCGGCATCCACTGCTGGTGATGGTTTTTCGATGATATCTGCAAGCCCAGTTGGTGCAGCTCCTAATGTTAGTGATGATACATCAGTGCTAGAAGAAGAAGATCAACAAATTGAAATAGCTCAACAAGTTGGAGCATATCTCGAGTCTGATAGTGAAGATTCTGATTCAGATCTTAGTGCAGTAGAAATTGATTCGGATATTGAAAAAGAAAAGCAAATTTCATACGATAGAGACCTTTACAGAGATGATTATCAAGTAAATATATTTTATGCTTCTTTTAATACTTATCATCTCTATAAGATTATTTTGTTTAGAAAATAAAAAAATTAGTGAAAACAGAACTGCCAGCAGGTGAAAAAAGAAAAAAACAACCTGAAGAAGGTCTAATATTAGATTATGTATTCGGGTAAATTTATTTTATTTGAGATTTAGTTTTAAAAACCATTCATGATATCATTAGCCGAGTTTGAAATTTATTATCAACTAATAAAATAGATTTAAATAATTAGTGATTTCAAAATGTTTATGTGTATTTTTTAGTTATCGTGGCTATGATTGCCGAGATAATGTATTTTGTATAAAAAGTGGTGAAATTGTCTATCATGTTGCGGCTTTGGGAATTGTTCTAAATTCTGAAACACAAAAACAGCGTTATTATTCTGGTCATACGGACGATATTTTATGTTTAACTGCTTGTCCGAATACTTCATTGGTTGCCTCAGGACAGGTCAAGTTTCACTTTTCTAACAGTATATATCTTATTTCAATAGATAATTATAGATTGGTCGTGATCCACCAGTGCATGTATGGGACGCTGAATCAATGGCTACCAGTGCTATTTTAAAAGGGCAACATTCTAGGGGAGTATGTGCAGTTGGATTTTCAAGTAAGAATTTTAGAAATTATTTGCACTTATTTTTTTTCGAACAAATTAACTAATGCCCCACAGTGCACATTCAGGCGGAAATTTGAGCAAAAATCGACAAGTGAGCTTTTTTGAATTCGAACAGTAGTAAATGTAGTCCTTGAAAAGCGCTATCGAATGGTATATAATGATCGACTAGTAATGAACTCCTTCGA